CCCCCACCCCCTGCCCTGCCCCTGCTTCCATGCTTCTCCTCATCCTTGATGCTTTCTGAGAGTAGAGAGGAACAGTTATCTGGCTCTTCATCACACTGTCATAAAGATCTTTAGCCATCACCAAACTAAACTCTTTGAGGTCATTGTCGCTCCTTCTACTTTCAATCACCAAGTGCCATAGCTGAGACGGTGTGTCAGCCATTTTTTTTACACAGGAATCACTCTGCCTTTTCTTCCACTTGTCCTAGATCACATGTGAAAGAAAGTGAGCAGAAATACCTTTGTCCTGTCTTCTTAGGAACCATATCCATTCGCTTTCCCAAAGCCAATTGCCAGACACTGTTTGTTCTCTGTAACAAACAAGCATGGAAACTCCTAAACATATTTGCTGTTACCTGAGCTATCACACATCAGCACTTCTAGAACTTTTCACAGTCTGATGTGTACCTAGAAACTCACAAAAATATACTTGGCACTGGGCAGAAAGAGATTTCCTTTTCCTCCATGTCAGCCATCTATCGGTCTGTTCTCACTGCATAGTTTATAAGCACACAAGTCAGTATAATTGAAGGTCCCTGAAAAGCCAGCCAGTCTTCAGAGAAGTTAATAAGACTTGACCCATTCCATGGAGACAAAAAGAGGTAATGGTTCAAAAGCAGCTGAAATGTCAACAGGACTTGCAAAAGGCCAATCAGCAACCCCAGAATAAAAACGCTGAGTTGGTGGTAATCTTGGGCAGCTGAAGACAGAAGTGTATTACAAAGAATTCAAGACAAAGTTCTGGTGCTGAAAAGCTTAGCTTTGATGATCTGGAGAGGCAAGAGAAATAGTCCTGAGCTATTTCCCACTTTAGAAAGATTTTGTTTATCCTTTTTCGCTAGAGTTGGAGCCAAATTTGAGTTAGTTCTTAATATTCCTGGCCACTCGAGCACTCAAGTCAATGGTGCATTTCTGGGAACAGCCTGTCACCACAGACTACAGGCTGAGACAGAAAGAGCCTGTCCATGTGACAAGCTTTCTCCTTTTCATCACTTTGACCAACGACTCTAGGACACTGGTACAGTGCACTGTGTTCTTCCCAGGGACTCCGAGTTCTCAGCTATGCATTGTTTCTTTACCTGCCTTGCTGTGAGAGGCAAGACCCTTAGAGTTGAGTGACCATTCTTAATAAACATTCCAGTCACATTAACACGAAGGCAGACAGAAAAACAAGCTGATGGCACACACCTCTAATCCCAGTGCTGGGAAGTAGAGGCAGACAAATCTTTGAGACTTTAAGAACAGCCTGATCCACCCAACAGAGCTAGTTTCCAGGACTACATAATGAGTTCCTGCTCCAATACATAAATAAAACACAGAATTAGATGATTCTTGAGAACAAAGACTGAGTCCTTTCATTTGGAAACCCATTTTAGTCCATCTGTGAATCTACTCATTCATCTTATAAGTGATTCCATTTACAATCTCTATAAGATTTGCCACACAGTGAAAAGGCATGAAGCTTTAAAAATCAAATGTCTGGATCCAACTCCTGATGTCATGGTGTTTTTAAAGTCCTCGGTTTTCTTTCTCTGACAATAAAGCTAAGGACTTGTCTTGGCAAGATTGTTTTGAGGGTTTGAAATAATGTACCTAAAGTTACTGGCGTATAATAAGCACTCGATGAAAGAGAGTGGCGGCTGTGACTGTCATACATTATTATGTCGCTCTGTTGAGCCAGACAGGCCTATCCAGCTTCCATATCCACCTAAGGAGGCTGTTTTATCCCTAAAGACTCATTCTCACTACCTTGTGACTGACTCATCCAAACTGAAAGAGGTCTCAGTCCCTGACAAAGACTTTCTCTTTAAACCACAGTTACCTGACTCTGTAAGTAGGCTCACTCGCTTGACCTCTGCCTGCTGTCTTAGTTGCTGTTCTATTGCTGTGAAGAGACACCATGGCCAAGGCAACTTTTAGTAGGCAGGCATGGCACTGGACATGTAGCCTAAAGCAGAGAGAGAGCTAACTGGGAATGGCAGGGACTTCAGAAACTTCAAAGCCCACCCCAGTAGCTCACCTCCTCCAACAAGGCCACACCCCTAATTCTTCCCAAACAGTTCCACCAACTGGAGCCCAAGCTTCAAACAGATGAGCCATTTGGGGCCATTCTCATCCAAACCACCACACCTGCTACGCTCAATTTTGGCACAAAAATCTTACATCACCGACTAATGTCAGATGTCATTTTGCCCTGTCATATTGCCTGGTCCCTCATTCTGCATGCTGGCTATACAATGCTCAGTTCTCTCTGTAATATGTAGAGTTGAGATCTGCCTGTTTTGCCTACTGCAACTATTTTGGATGAAGTTTTTTTTTTTCTTAAAAGAGTTCACTCCTTATCTCCATGTGTCTGTTTCTTACTGGACAATGCACATGAACTTAACCTCTGATATGGTTTGGATGTCATTTGTCACCAAATATTCACACACTGGGACCTTGTTTCCTGTTGTGGTAGAGCTGAGAGCTGGGGAAGCCTTTTAGAAATCAGGCAAACTATGAAGTTCTTAATACACTCATGGCTGATCCATGAGAAGGGCTAAGAGAACTCCCATGGGTCCTCCGAGCTCTGATGAGAGCAGGTTGCTATAGAAACAAGCTCCATCCCTGAGTGACTCTGGCTTTCTGGTTCAATATGGGATCTCCCCCTCACATGCACTCCCACTGTTGGGACATTGTCTGCCATGCCATGAGGTCCTCACTAGAGCTCAGCCAATACTGCTGCCATGCCCTTGAACCCCAGAGTTAAATAGACCTGTTTTCTCTATAAAGTTAGTCTGCTTCGAGTACTTTATTATAGTAATATAAAATGTATTAATAGAGTCTTCCCATGCCAGGACATGCCACCCTGAGAGTCCACTTGGTTTCTCTGAAGCTGAGCTACTGCCAGTTGGTATACCGAGCTGGACAAATGCCTTTCTGATGATGGAAGGGGCAGAGCTGGCTCCGCAGATGCAGTTGCCTCCATTGTAGGCTCAGATCTCCTCTACACACCTGCCTCAGCCTCAGGAAACTTCTCTGCTCCTCTTTGCCACCTCAGTGCCCCCAAGGCATTGTCCCCCTGTAAACCTCCACACATCCTTTTAGTATACTACATTACTGAGTCTTCCTATGATGAAAACAGGCCTATCTTGTTTTCCCAGGTCCTTGAGCCTGGGTGAGTGACTCACTAATCTTCTGACAGCCTTCTCTTTAGTGTGAATGGCAGGAACTCCTGGATCAGCTTCTCACACTTATGTGTGCAGTCAATCAGGAGTTTATGCTGACCATGAATTTTGGAGCCTGCCCATCTGATCCTGTTTTCCTGGTGACAACAATACCTGGGACATTTGTTAAATATACATTACCTGGCCTTGCCTCTAGATGCTCCAACTTTGGGTTGAGGCTCTAGAAACGGAAGCTTTGCAAATACTTATCAGGGATGTCGGGGAAGTGTTCCTGCAGGCCCAGATATGTTAGGGAAAGGGGAGTGGTATGAAAGGAAGAAGGGTGGCTGGCGTAGCCATTGCTGGGGGTCACCCAGCTTTTCCTTGGCAGGTGCAAGTCCAGCATCAGGCGTGCCCTGTCCAGCATAGCTTAGTTATGGAAACCTGCCTGGGCTGATGAAGGAATGGACAACGGTCAAATACATGTACAGAAAAGCTGGGATCTGATAGAGGGGCACCAACGAGGAGACAATTCAGAACTACCTACTACGTACAGTAGCACAGCGGGAGGGGTTAGATGGTCTCAGTTGGAGGTCCCTATATGTCCCTATAGGGAAACAGTCTTGGTCTCAGGAGGGAGATACTGCCAACATAGGCCACGGACCAGAGGAAGGCTTTGTCTGACCTGAGCCTGACCTAAGGATGGTTTTGCCAGCTCCCATGAGTCTGCAGCATTGGTCCTTGTCAACAATACACGTTCACTCAGGGCCCCTACAGCTCCCCACCATCGCGTATCCCATGCTTGGGGAACGGGAGGCTCCGATCCTAACAATCTTGGTGCCTCATTGGCCTATGGGAACGCTTCATGAGGAATCATCCCTCCAGCCATGCCCCTACAGTTTGGTCTTCCATGTTTGAAACAGGATGATGGCAGCCCTGCGAGAAACATACAGCTTTCCCGAACTCTTGGTGTGGGATTTGTGTCTCTCCAATGAGCTTCAATCGTACCATAACTTTACCCATTTGATCCCCGGGCCCTTCATGTGTAAAATAAGGTTTATTCCACTACATTGAAGCCAAAGCTTTTTTTCAAAAGAAGCTGCCAAGCTGAGCTGAAAGTGGGGTTGCATGCAGTAAGGGAAGAGCTGGAGTTTATGTTACTGGAGAGAAGTGCCGGTACTCATTAATGAGGTGCCCTCTAGTGGGAAAGGCAAGCAAGGACCCTGTTTCCTCAAACCCACTTAACCGGTTACTTTGTACTTCTGGGAAATTACCCTAATTGCCACCAAGTTGCCCTCATTTTTAATTTTGTTATGTTATTTTAATGCACGAAATCGTAAATGAGCCGGCGGTGGTGGCGCATGCCTTTAATCCCAGCACCCGGCAGTCAGAGGCAGGCGGATCTCTGAATTCGAAGCCAGCCAGGCCTACAGAGCTTGTTCCAGAACAGCTAGGGCTAAACAGAGAAACCCTGTCTCAAAAAAACAAAACAAAACAAAAAAAAAACAAAAAAAAAAAAAGAAAACAAAACCAAAAATCATACATGATGTGAAGTGTCATGCTTTAGATACTTCGGTTAGTCTGTCCAGGCTGCCTTAACAAAGTACAGCGGACTGGATATTTTCTAACAGAAGTTCTATAGTCTGGAAAAGCCAAGACCCCGGTACCAGCAGATTCAGGGTCTGGTGAGGAACTCTTCCTGCTTGCAGCCTCTCAGTTAGAGTGTATGCTGAATCATGCGGTTTCTGAAGTCTTGATTTTTTTTTTTTTAATGAACACTGTTCCTGTTCATGAGGATGGACCTGACCCTCTAGAGCAGTGGTTCTCAATCTGTGGGTCACAACCCCTTGGGTGTTGAGTGACCCTTTCACGGGGGTCACCTATCAGATATGCAATATCAGATATTTATATTACCATTCATAACAGTAGCAAAATTACAGTTATGAAGTAGCAATGAAAATAATTTTATGGTTGGAGGTCACCACAGCATGAGGAATTATAAAAAGGGTCACAGCATTAGGAAGGTTGGGAATCATGGCCCTAGAGGCTCCTTCGAAAATGTAAACACTTTTTCACGTACAAGTTTTGGAGGTACACAAACTTTCAAACCATAGCATTTGATATATAATTATAGGACAAGGTTAAAATCCAATTCCACAAAGCTGGTAAACTAGAAATTTGTAATGCTTGTTTAACGTTGATGGGTAAGTGGATGACACTGTTCTGCAGAAACTGCATGGCCACCTTAGGGTTAGTTAATTAGTCATGTCTGATGTTATAATTTAGCTTGTTTTTATAACGTGAGCTTCAAACTACAATCCACAGTATCTGTGTGCACAAGAAAAGACATCCCAGCCTTGTTCATGGTTCAGCAGAAGCAAAGCTTCTCCTCGTGGTTCTGTCAGGGAGGAATGCTGGTATCAGTCTGTGCCAGGGTACTATCATAGTGAAAAACAAATCTGTAAAAATTTGGAGGTTTTGTTTTTGAAGATAGGGTTTCTCTGTTAGCTCTGGCTGTCTCCGAACTTGATCTATAGACCAACTGACCTCAAACCCGGAGATTCCCCTGCCTCTGCTTCCCAAGTGCAGGGATTAAAGGCGTGAGCCACCACGGCTGGGCTTGATTTGTAATTCTTGTAAAGAAGCTCCAGGCCTTTGAACAACTGTCCAGAGATGCTGTGTAGTTGAGCATACAAGGAACGCTACCTCTCTTCCCCTTTTTTGACATTCGGCTCCAAGTCCAATTCTGTCACAAACTAAGTGTTAAAGGCTGGGGCAAGTTTCACAGCTCTGCGTCTGTTCCTCCCACCAATGCTGCATCTCACAGGCTCCTGTTGAAAGTGAGGTAGGGTATTTGAACACATCTACACCTCTAGCCTGGTTACCAAAGGGAAAACACCGTGGTCACAAAGGCAGAAGCAAGCGGCTGGAAATTTACATCTAAAGACTTTAAAGGTGCTAACCTGTCATCAGCAGTAGTATATTATGTGTTTCCGGGTACGCCCAGTCTTTGTCCTGTGAGACGCCCTAACATGCACAAAGTGCTGGCTGGTTCGCAGGAAGCTGACCCAATTGCTCACTGCTGCCCTCTTGAGTGCATAACTTGGATTGCATGGGATGCTGCCTAGCCTGCAAATGAGGAAAAGCCGTGCAGGCCCAAGACAAACGCTTGTGGGCTCTTCAGCTGGACACCTAACAGTCATGCTGTCTGTGAGTGCATGCGCATCTGCTTCTGCCGAACGATTGAAGAGGGAATTGGCACTTCCCACCCTTGCCATCTGCCAGTCCCAGTCCCTTCAGGCCTGCACAAACAAATCATTTGGAATGAAGCCTATCTAACTCTCTCTCTCTCTCTCTTTCTCTCCTCTCTCTCTCTCTCTTCTCTCTCTCCCTCTCCTCTCTCTCTC